TCGAGGTGTGTCATTAATGGTCTTTCTTAATATTTGATATATACTTATATACAAATTCAATTAATTTTGTGGTATACTAGTATGCAAAACTAACAATAAAATATAAAAAATTGATTATAAAATATATAATTTTTTTTAAGTAACTATAAAAAATGGGAATATTTTGGAAGTTTTTTTTTTTTATCAGAATAAGTTCAGAATACTTTCAAAAAATTCACATAAAAAATTCGAAATTCTTGGAATCTCTAAATGCATTCCAAATTTTTTGAAAATATTCGCATGTGGAATTTTGGGATTGAATTCGGGATTTTTAATATCGGAATCGGAAACACCATTTCAACTTGCACCTCTAAGTTGGCTCAAAGTCGACAGTTCAATAACTATAAAAAAATGGGAATATTTTGGAAGTTTTTTTTTATCAGAATAAGTTCAGAATACTTTCGAAAAATTCACATAAAAAATTCGGAATTCTCGAATTCTCTAAATGCATTCCAAATTTTTGGAAAATATTTGCATGTAGAATTTTGGGATTGAATTCAGAATTTTTAATACCGGAATCGGAAACACCATTTCAACTTGCACCTCTAAGTTGGCTCAAAGTCGACAGTTCAATAATTGAAGAATTTTAGTAACCGATCATTTCGGAAGTCAAAATTGGTTCCAAATATTCGAAGGATCAGTAAAACCGAACCTTTTTTTTTAAAAAAAAAAACGTGACAATTGATGACAAGCCACGGTTATCTACCCCTTACGAGGTCTGGGAAGACTCACAGATGCATTTCAGCCTCCCCCTCGCCACAAGTATGGCTTCCACACCAACAGCGGGTTTCGAATCCAAGACCTCCAGTTTTTAGTTTTAAGGAAGTCTCGTAATCCACCATTTACCACTGAGCCACTAGCTTGTGGTTGAAAAACACACACAAAAATAGCTATTTCCGACGGCAATGTAACTCTTTTCCGAAGGTATATTTCCGACGAAGCATAATTTTTTTGATCGGAAACAGTGGTTTTTCCGAGAGTATTTGTAGGCCTTCGGAAAAAGTTGGTCGCAAATGACCTTTTTTTTTTTTTTTTTTTTGTAGTGTGGGCGTGGCTATTGGTGCTAGACACATTCAGTCAGTTACACTCTCCATTTACAAATCAGAATACTTGAAAGGAAAACTAGAAGGGAAGAAGAAAGCATAAACAAAGCCGAATCAAGAAAAAAAATTCATAAGAGACTTGTAACTCCGTTATATCTACAACATAACAAAAGTTATACACATCTCCGAAAATTCGGATTTTATAAATGTTAGATCTTGAGTTTTTCATTTTTTTTTATTAAGATTTAACAGTTAAAAGTTCAAATTATCCGGAACACGGTAGAAAAATCGCATATCCGAATGGCATGTTGTGAATATGAGTGCATGTCGTTTTCAGTATAACTGGCGAGAGAGTGACAGAGAGAAGAAGAGGTACAAGAAACGAACCCCTACCAACAAAAGAAGGTCGTGAAAGCTCCATACATTCAGATGCTGAAGGTTTCCTAAAACGTATAGATGTTCACGTGGCCCTGCACTTGGCAAGTGGAACTTCCTTCCATAACTGGTCAGGTTACTGCTCTCCTGCCTTTTACTGGTCAATACTAATAAAGTATTTTACTTCTTATTAAATAGTATCATGCGTAGTTCAAAACTCTCAACTTCTTAGTTTCTCACAAACTATCTTTAACTTAGGCACCAGAGTACCGGTGGAGCCAAATACAAGACTCCGTTGGACTATAACATAGAGAGTTTTTTACTTCTTTAAGCTTAGAAATACTAATTATTTAGATTATTTTATTTTAATTGTCATAACCCACTTATCAAACGACCCTCGTGATTTTTGGCTAATCCGAAAGTACCCCAACAACTTCACCTTTCCAACCCATCACAGAGTCCTGCAATTTCATCTTTATCAACTCACGGTGAGCTCCAACGGCAATGGCGGTGCAAACAAATACAAAACCACATACAATGATACAAATCAAAACAATCATGAGAATCAAGTTTCTAACAAAACCCAGAATAAGAGAGAGATATGGGTTCCTTCGCACCTCTGTTTTGAGAACCAAAGAGGACGGAGAACACTTTTTTTTTTATCCCTGAGGACGGAGACCGTCCTGTTTTGAGAACCAAAGAGGGCTCTGACCTCTTTTCTTCTTACTACTTATTTCAAATTATTTTTGTCTTTAATAAATTACTTTTATGAAATGTTTTTTTTCTTCTTAAAATAAAAAATAATAAGGGCATTTCAATATTCTTATTGATTTATATTTCGATTCATCTGAATTAGTAAACAACTTATATAAACTAAAATTCATTCATACTCCAATTCCAGAACATTTAAGTAAACAACTTCAACAGTAATCTTCTCCTCAATCCAATTCCTCTATTTTGATTACGGTTACGTAAACGTGCCATAATAGTGATAAATTAAAACTTTTGTACCACACACGGTTACGGTTCCTCATTTTATTCATTAGAAAGTTTGAAGACTACAAGCCTAGAAAACAGACTACAAATTTCTTACTCCAAATAATTACTTTCAAGTTTACTATATAGCTTTATGTACGCCAAAAAAAAAAAATTGAGCATTTAATTTTGTAGTAATAATTTTAGCTTAGCACACCCATTGAATAATTCCTGACTTCGTCATTGCATCAGAGGCCCTTTAACGGACACCCTCTCTCTTTTTCTCGAGTGTTTGTCAATTAGACTAATAGAATCCGCATGCCATTATATCATTAGATGGTGACAGTGGCTATTTTATCATGAGGGCTTCTCACTGTCCGCATGCCATTATATCATTAGATGGTGAAAATTAATTACCACGAATTTGTTAATAATTTATACATACAAATAATTTATTTATTTATTTTTAAATGAAGTGCTTGAATAATTAATATGTATGTATGTATGAGTAGAAATTAAAAGTACATAATAATATATCAAATATTAGAAGGTATGAAGTAAGCATATGATCAAGAGCAGTAAACCAACCAATCATGTATTATATATGGATCACCATTTATGGAGGATAGGGATCTTATACCAATCAGCATATTTAAGCTAGCTATTAATAACTACTCAACAAAAATGATACATAGGCAGCCCACAATAATTGGAAGCTTGTGACCAAAAATGGTATATGGGTGTTCGCTCGTAGATCAAAGTAAAATGGCCAATATATATATATATATTATTTATGGAGTTTTATACTGCAATCTCGTCATACTAGATTTCACGTAAAAACCACGAGAACCATTTCATAGTGTACGTCCCATTTTCTAGTGAATGTCAAAGTGTAATGATTTGGTTGGAAATCAGTTTCGATAATAATCAAACTTAAAATTTTCTTATTTACAAATGAAAATGAATACCATTAATCCAAAGTATTAAGTGAACTCTCATTGATCAATATACTTGGGTAATTAATATTTCCGCATTGACTAAATGCAAAATTGAAGAAGAAGAATACTACTAGTCCATTGTTTGTTGTGTCAAAATGGGAGAATGATAGAATTGGACATGATAAGTTATGAATCCATAATAGAATGAGTTATTTAACTTATACTTATACATGAGTACAAGTCCGATCTTACATATTCCTGCCAATTCAATTATATTTCAAAAACTCAATCTCATGTAGCCCACTAAATAGACCCAAAGCGCTATGCCATGACATGGGGTTTTTCGGCCGCATTCTATTGTTTATAATGTTTTATTAGGATTCTAAGATTTTAGGATTATTTTTTTTGTCAAAAGATTTCATCAGGATGTTTCAGTATTTGTTATTTTTTATAATGTTTTTCCTATTTGAACTCCTGTAATGTTTAAGAGTAACATGCATTAAAAATACCACTTTTAGGGTGCTAGGCTTGTTCTTTCATAATTTCTATCAATTAACTTTGAGGTTTTTTCATAGTTTCTAGTGGATTACAACTTTATTATTCTTTAACATTATCGTTTGATATTCTTTCTTTGTCATGCCACGCTAAATTTGGACCCAAAATTCCTCAATCATATCTAAACCCTAGTTTCTTGATCTTCAATTCTCATCAAGAACCTACAGTTTTGACCAAGACCTGCAGCAAATCATATCAAGCAGGCAATGAGAATAGCTCTACCACACACTTAGACATTCGATGAACTTTTCCACTAAGTCTCGATTAATGACGAAATAAAAATGGTTGAGAGAAATTGACTATTCTGTCATGAATTTGAACTCGATAAATACTACGCAACTTGAGGTTTCAGATTTTTGTGACAAAATTAATAACAAGATGTGGTATTCGAAATGACTTCTTTTTCCTTTCTATTTGTTGACAAGCCTAGTGCAAACGTACGTGGAAAGCATCATACCCTAATCTGCCAAACGGTAATAAATTTCCATTGGCACTTTCTGGAATCCCTCACATATATTTCGATCGCCAGAAAACACTTTAATCTCATCATCACAAGCATTAGATACAGGTGATGAGTAGTTAATTAGATAGCTATATAGCTAACATAGATTGATAGAAAGATATTCTTGAAAGAGAACAACTTATATATAACGGATTCACTGTCATGTAATGTTTGGATTCAATAATATAACGTTATGTGTTGAAAACTTACACATGTTATTGTTTTATTGAAACAAGATGTACGTCACGATAATAGTGAATCCGTTTGATATAAGTTCTCCATTCTTGAAGGGCATTTTAGTCAGGCTAGCTCTTAATAATTGCACCAAATAATTATAAACAACTAACATTTGAACAAATAAAACTTGCAGTTTATGGAGCGAATTTGAACCTGCAAAGCTGTTCAAATCAGCTCAAACAACCACATCTTGTATCTCATTTCGGGAAAAGGCCAACCCTCTCTCTCTCTCTCTCTCTCTCTCTCTCTCTCTCTCGACTTACACACAGACACAACTATCAAAGTTGGACAAGGTAAGAAAGAAGCTATAATTGGCGTGGAAAAGAGGACTTGCCCATAAGCTTTGGCTTCTTTGGGATCAGAAGTTTTCCGAAAGCTGAGGTGAAGATCCAACGGAGTAGTGGAACCTAGAGTAAAGATCTCTCTGATACCTAGCTCAGCTTCTTCTTCTTTTTTAAACAAAATCATCTCATCATTTCCAAGGAAAAATATAAAACAAATTTATTTTCCAATTACGATAATTATTTTTCATCATATCATATTTCATAGATCTGTGTTTCCAAAGCTTTTTGTTGTTGCTAATTTTCTCTTCCTCTTTTATTTATTTTATCTTGCATAGAAATTCTGGGTTTTAGTGTTCTTGATATATATGATAATATGATCTTTTTTTGGTCAATATATATGATCATATGCATGATCTGTTGCTTCATCTTTCAGACTTTCTTCACTTTCTTTTTCTTCTGTCAACTTTTTTAATTACTCTTTCGTACATATTGGACATGATATCAAGAACCAAATAACTGAGACTTCGTTTTTATATAAATTTAGGCTTTTGGCTTTCCAAAATATATAGGTGTAAATTCTATTTAATCTGCAAAACCTTCTTCTTCTTCTTCTTCATCTTCGTTCTTTGAATTTGATTTCACCCTCAGTTTTCTTCATCTAACTTCGATCTAGCTAATGCTCACAGACCTAGCTAGCTCAATGTCCACCTCATATATATGTATATATGTTTAGTTACGGTGTGTCTCTCATAAGGTTGAGAGAGAGAGAGAGAGAGAGTTCCCAATAAAGGGTGCTGCACCATTATCAATGGTGCATGACTACCAAAATCTTGTTCAGCTAGCATGTTGTAGATTCTGGTACCAGAGTGTGTATAGGGCATATATATATATATATGTGTGTGTGTGTGTGTGTTTTGAGTTTTTTCTATGCTTAGTTTTTTGGTCTTCGCATTAATCAAACTGGTTTTTTGTGAGTGGTCTACAACCTTATATACTTCTCCGTTGAGATCTACTTCTAGATCTCGTCAACTTTTTGTCTGATTTCCTTGATCTATTTTCTTTTGTTATTTGTTTCCTCTGACGCATTAATCCTTAATAATATCTACAGTCTTTAGATTATCCCATCACCCGATTCACCATCTTCTTCTTCTTCTTCTTTTCCTCTACATGATATACGCACGCACACACATCCAAATCATTTTCCTCCGAATTAATAATTCTTGGGTTTTCATTTTAGTCTGGTCATGCATAATAAATTGTCAAATCAATTAAGGTTAGCATTTGTGGGTTAAGTTCTTTAATTTCAGTATTTGATCAAACCCCCATTAGAAAATGTTTCCTTAATCGTTGTATGTACAGAGTTCATTCTGCCGAATTTTAATTTTGCAACTAGTTATCTTTCCCCTTGCTAGCTAGAGAAGAGAGAGAAGGAGATATCTCAAAGAGGATTTTCTTCAATTTTTTTTAATTATTTTTCAGTCTGTTATATTAAGTGATTTATAGGGTTTTCTATTTAGCAATTTAGTTTCTATTTAGTCATATACATATGCTAGCTGCTCTTTTCTTCTGAATTAATTCTTGTTGTCTTAATTAATCATGCAGCATTGATCTATAGGAAATTGATACAATACATTTCCTATTTATTAATATTGTATAAATTCATTTATGTATACAGGCAGAAGGTTGGTTCGTTCTTGGATCTGATCAAAGTAATCAGATATTAAGATGGGGAGGGGAAAGATTGAAATCAAGAGGATCGAGAACACGACGAATCGGCAAGTGACCTTCTGCAAACGAAGAAATGGGCTGCTGAAGAAAGCATATGAACTATCCATTCTCTGTGATGCTGAAGTTGCCCTCATTGTCTTCTCTACTCGTGGCCGTCTCTACGAGTACTCTAACAACAAGTAATACCCTATAACTAATTTCATCCTTAACTGTTATTTAACTTCACTTCACTTATCAATTAATTAATTATTTTCTTCACTTGCATGCATGCTTTGATTAATTAATTAATTACATTATGGTTACAATTTATGCGTTCGATCGCTAAGTCATTAATAAATATCACTCGTCCCTATGCAACATATATATTGAAGATTATGTTCTTGTCAAAATATACACTCAATTATCAATTAGCTTTTGTGTCTATGTGGGTTTGCATTAAAAAGAAAAGAAACACACAATGTATCTAAGTTAATGCTCTCTCTCTATGTGTTTTTTTAATTTTTATTTTTTATTTTTAAATTTATTAATATTAGGGGAAGATGAAGAGTTTGAAACTATTATAATAGTTTAGGGAATGAGAGAGTTGCATGAGTAGAAATTCAACATCATATGTGGGGAGAGATTTTTCAATATGACCGGTATACTGGGTGGTACATCACGTGTCACTATATAAATAGTGGAATATGTATGCTAAAAAGTTAATAACTTAAAAAATAAAATTTCTCACCACTCCTATTAAAACACGTAATGTACCATTTGTGTTTCCGTCACAATGAAAATTTTCTCCTATGTGTGTTTGTGTTACTGTTGTATATATGGTACTTATAGTACCAATGTAGTCACAGTTTTCTCAAAGACCTAAAAGTGAATGAAAAGGAAACATTTGCACTGATTTGGACCTACTTTGTTCCACAAGAATCCAGTGCTGGGTGCGTTTGGTACTTCCTTTTCTTCATCCTTAGTCTTACGAATCTATGGGACTTTTTGGGTGCTCCAGATTATCCACTCGAGAGGATATTCTGAATTTTTAACCATAAGATCTTTGTTTAAAAATACAAAAATAAAGATTTAGTGGTTAAAACACCCAGAGTACCCTATACTCCGGAGCACCCAAATTTTTTTGCAAATCTATTACAATCTCTCTGTCTGTGCTGTGGCATGCATTGCGATCATGATACCGTGTCGACGGTCTTACCTTTCCATTTCTGGCTTTCAAACCCTCCTACCCTTCTGTTTGTCTTTATCTAGCTATTGAGCGCAGTACTCTAATTTAGAAGAAAGCTTCTTCAACTTTTCACTTTAGTTTTCACTCTAAAAGGTTAACTTTCATACATACTACTGGATCTCATTGTTCTAATATTTTATAGTTTAATAATATAAATATGTATGTATTTACTTATCACTTTGCAAAAAGAATATGAATCTCTTAGCTCTGTGTTTTATGTTCTGGGTTTCTATTTTGATAATGTAAGCGTGGCGTGCACGTGCCATGATGCTGAGTGTGGGGGTTATGAATGGAACAAGTTAACTGACCCATCCATGATCCACCCATACTCTTTTTCGACTGTTGATGTTGATGTTGATGTCGAACTGATAACTCTGCTGACTGCATCTGCATGCATTGTTATCTATCATGTCCATATATATTTCTGATGTTCTTGTGAAGAAATTATGTTTAATTATCTGCACGCATGCACATTATTTTCTTCAACTTTTCACTTTAGTATTCACTCTAAGGGGTTAACTTTCATACATACTACTGGATCTCCTTGTTCTCATAGTTATAGTTTAATAACATAAATATGTATGTATTTACTTGTCACTTTGCTAAAAGAATATGAATCTCAAGTAATTTAGGAAGAGGTAATTAAAACAAGAAAAATTCGAAGAGGCTGTATATATATTTCAAGAATGTTCAATATATGTTTTAAATTTCCCGTTTATATGTCAAATCGTTTAATTTTAATATATATATAGATAGCATCCAATGAAGAGATGTGCATATCAATCTTTGCAAGTTTGCATGAATAATGGGGAGTTCGGCGTACCGTACTTAATTTTTAAAGAAAGAAAAATATTAATTAAACAAGAGGAAGGTTTTCTCAAAGCCAGAAAAATGAAGTGTCTTGTTTGTGATTTGACATCTATGGCTGCGTGGTGGCCAGTGCATATGTTATTGCCCTCCACAAAAGCGATTGAACTGACTTGAGAGGCATGCCATGCATGTATATAGGAATTGGATCCTATCCGGATTCATTTTATGTAGATCTTAGAGATCTTCATATTTTAATTATTTAACATATATCATACGGTTAAAAATTATTTAATTTTTTTATTAGAAATTATTTATTTATTTTATTTAAAATTAAACATAAATAGTATTTAACGAAAATTAATTACACGATAAACAATTAAGATGTAGAAATCTCTAAAATCCTGATAAAATAAATCTTGAGAGGACCCTCTTCCGTCGTTTTCCCATGTATATAGTGCTGTCCTGTTTAATATGATATATTATCCCTAAAGGCTGTGTGCCCTAGCCCTCTCTCTCACTCATGTCCCATCTCCACCAACATATATATGTTAATTTCAGTTCCCCCCCCCCCCCTCCCCCTCCCCCCCCTCCCCCCCTCTTCAGTGTTTGACACATCGCAATCGCATGAGGTTACTTTTGCAATTAAAGTTTTTTTTATTGAACAAAACCTTCAGTTCCCCCCCCCCCTTCAGTGTTTGACACATCGCAATCGCATGAGGTTACTTTTGCAATTAAAGTTTTTTTATTGAACAAAACCAAATGTGATGGGAATGAATCATATTCTAGAGCGTGTCTTGTATTTGGATAACGATCATCGCTGGATCTATTTTTTTGGAGATTCAAGAGATTTCGTGAATATATTCGTTCATCGTACATCGTATGATTAAAAATTATTTGAAATTTGAAATTTGAAATTAAATATAAATAGTACTTAACGAAAACTGACTACACAATGTACGATGAACAATCATTATCACGGGATCCCTCGGATCCTCAAGAAAAGGATCCAGATCTGGTGAGGATTCTTTTACCTAGTATTTAGGTTGTCTTCAGCCAAGTGTTAATAGTCCGAATTTGGGTAAACTTCGTCTTGAACTAAGGGCTAAAATGAATACGCTAAAAAGAAATAGAACTAAGGGGTGGTTTGGGAGTGGGGTGCTTAAAAAAAAAGCACCCATGAAAAAAAGCTGTGAGGGTTTTAGGTGTTTGGTAAACTGAAAAAAAGAGAGCTTATTTTGAAAGCTGCTGTGAGAATAAGCTGAAATCAAAGGAAAAAGCTGAAGCTAGTATTTGTAGTTTTGGAAAACTGGCTTTTTTTCAAAGCACACAGAGTTACAGTGCTCATTTAATGAAAAGACTCACTATCAGATTGCTTTTTTTTCCAAAAGCACTTTTACAAAAAAAGTTTACCAAACACTGCTGATTTATTTCACAGCCGCTTATTCTCACAGCACATCCACTTATTCTCACAGCAGTTTTTTTTCAAAGTACAGTAATACCAAACCAGCCCTAAATTTAGTTAAGGATAGAGTACATAGTAAGCCTCAAGCCCCTTGGAGCCCCAACGTATGCATCTCAAGTTAAGATGGAAAAATTTAGAGAGTTTTAACGAAAAGCCCGCGATACTGTTTATTTTAATGAAAAATCACATTTTTACATTAAAAAGTCAAACCTAGTATTATTCATTTTACCCTTTATTTTGTCCTTATTATTAAAACTCAAAGTTTTCAAACTCTTTTATTAGTTTTCCTAAAAATTTAACCATGTATGGTTGAAGTTGGAAAAATTTAACCCTACATTTTATTAAAATATTGATTTTTGAAGGGCTAAAGTATATAGTCAGGGGTTACGTTTAATCATCCATGATTAAAGATGACCTTTCATTTATTGTCATGGAATAGAAATTTACAATATCTAATAATATTTTATAGGATGTGATATCCACACATCTCATTTTACTTCTCACACACCTTCTTAATTTTTGGCCGTCGAATCGGATGAATTGAAGAAGATCAACGGACAGAAATTATCAAAGGATGTGTGAGAAGTAAAACGAGATGTGTGAATAACACACCTCTATTTTATATATTTGAAATCACTCTTAAAAGTCTATAAGCTGAACTTCGTTGACAACTCTTATATATGTGGTCATATATATCACCTTATTCATTTAAAATTAACATGCAACTTCCAACTATATATCTATCTCCTAGTTTCTCCTTAAAAAAATTATGGGGTGTCACTTTAGTGCTACATAGCATTAAATGCTAAGGATATTGAATAATCTAAATTCACGGGACTACAATAATAATTCAAACTAATCTGGGTCATCCAATACACGTAGCATGAAAATAACTTTCCAAATTATGAATCGATACAGTACAAGTAATTATTAATCCCACGTAGCATGAAAGAATTTTTCAAAGTTATGAATCGATATGCAGTACAGTAATTATTCTTTGGATCATCAACTCTTTTTTAACTTCCTAGCTCCTTTTTGTGGATTCATCTGAAATTAATTTATTTGAAAAAGAAGTTGAGTTTTCACATCTGCATCTCCTGTTGACACTTCACAACTTAAATATTTGACCTGCAGCAGCATAAGAAACACCATAGAGAGGTACAAGAAGGCATGTTCAGATAGCACAGGATCATCCTCTGTTACTGAAATTAACGCTCAGGTATATCTCTCTATGTATTTTTAAATTTGGTTTTTAGGCCGAACCAGATATTTTATATGTGTGTGTATATTAAAATACTGGCTGCATGCCTTTTCTGTATATTCCAGATATAAATACACACATGTGTAAACCTTGTATATACTTTCTGTTGAAGTTTGATACATTTATATTTCGTCTACTTAATGGGTTAGAACTTAAAACTTACTTTGGATAATGCATTTGTCAAATTGACAGTAATACTTGCTGCATGCCTTTTCGGTTAATTTTGTAACAACTGCGATTTCTGTTTCACATGAAAAATAAAATCACAAATAGGTTTCCCCCTCGATCTTTTAAAATAAGTTTCTCTTTACAATCTAAGTAAAGTGATTCATTTCTTAATTTGAAAACTAAGGGGCTGTTTGAAAACCATTTCATTTTCAGCTTTTATTTTGAAAAACTGAAAATTTGTTTGGTTAATACTTTCATTTTTGCAGTTTTCAACTAAAATTTGAAAGTTAGTTTTTGAGTTTTCAAGTTTTAGTTTTTTATTTTCATTTTAAAATGGAAGACTGAAAGTAATTATGAGATGAGCTTCAGTTTACAAAAAAGTAAAAAATAAAATGGAAAACTAATGAAAAGGGCTTGAAAACTTTGAGTTTTAATGATAAGGACAAAATAAAGGGTAAAGTGAATAGTATCAGGATTGACTTTTTAGTGTAAAAATGTGGTTTTTCGTTAAAGTGAACAGTACCGGGTGCTTTTCGTTAAAGTTCCCAAAATAAAAACTAAAAACTAAAAATCGAAATAGTTATTAAACGGCTCATAATTGAAACAATCCAACGTGCAGAGTTGAAATTTATGTTTTGGGTCACTTATTCTAAAGGTTTGAAATAAAGATCTGGATATATATATATATATATGAACCTAACAATTCATGCATGCATTTTGTTTGCTTTGGTCTCGATATGCAGTATTATCAACAGGAATCGGCAAAACTGAGGCAACAGATTCAAATGCTGCAGAACTCTAACAGGTGATCCTCGATCTCCACTATATATTCATCAATCCTTAAGTTGTACATGGAACTGGAAGAGTACTATTACATTTAGTATATAATTTAAGGTTACCACACACAACAAGAATGGCACAGCACGTTTTAAAGTTAAAGTACACTCTATAGAATTGCCCTAGCTTGCACCTCGAGGCAGTATATTGCAGTAATATGTATATATGATGGATGAATACAAATATTGTTTGCTTAATTGTAGGCACTTAATGGGAGATGCCTTGAGCACTCTGACTGTGAAAGAACTAAAGCAGGTGGAGAATAGGCTTGAACGAGGCATTACTAGAATCAGGTCCAAGAAGGTAATTAATAATTAATTCACTCAGAAATTGGCCATCTTCATTTTCCTCTCCTCGCAATTGATTATACGATATTTTCCCTGGTATGCTTGTACCTGATGCTTGAGAACAGCATGAACTGCTGCTTGCAGAGATTGAGTACTTCCAGAAAAAGGTAAACCTTTTACTTTTAAGAAGAGTTGCCCTCTTTCTGTGAAGTGAATGCCCTAACGATCCTCAATTATTTCTGTTATGTACGTAGGAGATTGAGCTGGAAAACGAAAATGTTTATCTTCGAACTAAGGTAAATGCTTATGCGCAGAGATTAGCATTCGTATACGTTAAGTAGTAGGTTTGATCAAAATGCATGCCGAAACTAATTAATCATCAGATGAAGAAAGTACTTTCCCATCTGTGCGATCAGCTGATGCTATCTGTACATGCATGTTTAACCACTAAAATCACTAAAAATAACTGATATGCATGCAGTCTTTTAAGTTATATATATATATATATAAGTTCTCAACTAATGGAATGTACATACAATATTCCAACATTTACTAGCTCATTAAATCAAAAATTTCGGATTGAATTGATTTTTTGTAAGGATGATTTATGAATTGAGACTAACAAAATAGACGGTTCGGATCGTTGAAATTCGCTGTGGAGTTGACCCTATACCCCGTAATAACCTTTTTTTTTTTCAAAAAACAGAATCCCTTTGCATAAAAGGTCTATATATATATATATTCGATGTTTAATTTTCCGATGGATCGATGATCAGGTATCAGAAGTCGAGAGGCTTCAACAAGCAAACATGGTTTCTGGGTCAGAGATGAATGCAATCCAGGCATTAGCTTCTCGCCATTTCTTTAGCCAGAATATGATCGAGGGTGGAGAAGCTACCTTCCCACAGCAAGACAAGAAGAACCTCCATCTTGGGTAATCATTAAATTACTAATTTCTCCTAACATATATACTTTAATTCTTACAGAATTACTAATAAAACAGAAAATTTGTATCTTGACTTCTTGAGTTTAATATTTTGTTGTGTTTACGTGCAGGTAACTAATTAGCTTTTTGAAGGCAGAATCTTCAAATGCAGGAAATGCTACCTCAATCATCTTAATTATATCCAGATAATAATGATGATATATCTTCTCTTATGCTGAACAACTTTTCTAATTACTAGCTTTATTATGTATTTGTAAGGATTGTAATATGACTTTGGGGTTTAGTACCCAGTACTACCCAGAATAATTACTACTACACTATGATCTGGTATTCAATAAGTTTAAATTAATTAGCTTAATTATGGCAGTGATGATGAACTATTCGTTACATGAGATGAAATAAGTAGAGAGGTTCTCTCAGTTTCTCTCATGGCGTTATCTAGCAAGAACTAGTATATCAATTTTCTCTCAAACCCACAAAACTTTTCTAATTGAGATTGGAAAGTTTTTGTCCCACGAAGGATGCAGCTGTGCAACTACGACTTTCTACAACACGTTTTAACTTATATATATATATATTATTTTGCCAAAAAAAAAAAAAAAAAAAAAAATTCTGCATAGACATCGTCCGCTTGGGGCACGATCATCGTCCATAGGCGCCACATCACGCCTTAGTGAAGCTCTTGATGGTCAACCTAACGGAAGTATGAGTCTGAGAGAAAAATGTAACTTTCGATATGAAATGAGATAAAAATAAAACTTTAAGGATGAAAGTGTGAATTTTACGATACTTGATGATAATAATGAAAAAGTTTCCCTAAAAACTTAAATATATTTGCTTAATTGGCATGGCACGCGACTCATGTCACGTAAGTTTTTCTCTGGTCTGAGTTTGCACATGTTCCGGAGTTGGGTTGGACATTGTACACTACACTAGTCACAATCCCAATATTCTGGGCTTGGTTCTCAGCTTAACCCAATCTCAATTTTCTCTGAAACCCACAAAACTTCCCAACAAAAAGAAAAGAAAAGACGGAGGGAGGGGGAGGAGGGTAGAAAGAAGAAGGAAAAGAAAATCGGAAGAGAAAAAAAGAAGATGAAGGAGCCATTGGTGAGGACGAAGGTGTTAATTCGGCACTTGCCTCCGTCTCTGTCTCAGTCCGATCTCTTCAGCCAAATCGACCACCTGCTCGCCGACCGCTACAACTGGCTGTGCTTCCGTCCAGGAAAAAATAGGTTATGCCTTTTCTATTCCTTTGAGTTCTTAATCATTTTTTCGTATTATTCCTGTTTCTTAGAAAAATTAGGTTTAGGATTGTAATTTCAATTTGAATGGGGCTTTCATTTATGCTTTTTTTTTTTGTGGATTATTTATTTTTAATTGGAGCTTTTTTCTGGCATTTTTTGGGGTAGCATTTTAAGTGGTTATTCATTTTTATGCCTCTGAAAGCATGGATTTTTCGGCCCTTTTGTGGTGGATTGGGGAGATTGAACTTATTTTATTATGTAGTGATATGTTTATTTCTTTTTTTTTTTTGCTCAGTGGGGAAGAGAAAAGGATAAATTTGTGAAACAAAAAATGTTTTTGCATTATAGAATGGCTAATTATTTAATTTTGTTGAGTTTTTGGTTATGATTATGGAATGTCGTTCGATGACTCATCTGTTATTTGAATAAATTCTCCACTAAGCTTTGATCTGTGACTGTTGATAACAATAATAAATCAGTATTATGGATGTATGGGGTTTTATAGGCAGTGAGTTCCTCATAGAGTTCCTACTCTCATACTTGGTCTAATCTCGATAGATAAATGTCGAAAGTGGTTTTGTTCCCTTTTGTTTTCAGTTGCTAAAAACAATCGTCAGGCAAGAAGGATACTGAATATTTGAATTTTGCTTTTTTTTTTCTTCTTGGAAATTGTTATTAGCGCTCCAAAAGTTTCATTGTGCACGCCAAACTTCATATATTTAGAAAGAAAAATACACTTGTGAGGAGTGCACAAAGAGATTTTTGGTGTGCCAATAACAGTTCCCTTTTTCTATTTAAGTTTTAATTTGAGTAGCCAGGTTGATATATCAATTTTGGTGGAATCACATGTTTGTGGAACTCATGATAGATGGGGAAGTTTGGTTTTGCAAGAATCTGTGTTTTCCTATTTGTTTCTTGGCAAAGAAATGGAGAATAAGGAGTTTTCTCATATAAATAGTTTTCTTTGGAAATAATGTTGCAGTCAGAAGAACCAGAGGTATTCTCGGGCCTACGTAGACTTCAAGCGACCCGAAGATGTTTTCGAGTTTGCTGAATTCTTTGATGGACACATATTTGTCAATGAGAAGGGTAATTAACACTGAAATATGTTTATTTACCATGTTATATTCTTATATATGAATGTTTTAATGAGTTTGTGTGATATTGATGTATTGAATTTTTCTTTGTTTCTCTTATATACTAAACTTGAAAAAGAGAAAAAAGAAATTCCTGTCAAGAAACTGGTTGGGTATTGCTTGATTCTTGCAATGTAAAAGAATATGTGCACCTTGGTATTATAATTTCATTCTTATTTTGTTTTTGAAGCTTGAAACTAAATATATTTTCTCTTTTCCAGGGGCTCAGTTCAAGGCTATAGTTGAATATGCACCCTCACAGCGTGTCCCAAAACCTAGTATAAAAAGGGATGGCCGTGAAGGGACTATATATAAAGGTGCTAAGTTAGACTAGTTTGATAGTACTCTAAAACATTATCGGGATTATTCAACTAACTGCTATATACTTGACGAATGTAGATCCTGATTATTTGGAGTTCCTCAAACATATTGCAAAGCCTGTTGAGCATCTTCCTAGTGCAGAAATACAGCTGGAGAGAAAGGAAGCAGAACAAGCTGGTTAGTTATGCATTTACTGACACTATGTATGTCATTTTAGGACTTAAATACAATTTTGGTAGTCTGGAAAGTATCCCCTCTTCTCTTTTTGGTTTTGAGGAAAGATTTTTACTGAAGGAATATCGGTACAAATTGTTTTGCTCAAGATTGAGAACTAGTTCTCTGTTATTTTGTTAGGTGGTGCAAAAGAAGCTCCTATTGTTACACCCCTCATGGAGTATGTTCGGCAGAAACGAGCTATTGGAAGTGGGACTCAGGTAATGGCACTACCCTGTTTTTCTGTGTGTTTTTGTGTTGAAAATACATTACAGAGCCCTAAATAATAAATAGACTAAGAATTCCTTGTAATCTTTTTAACAACTTATCGCTTCAGTCCCAAAAAAATAAAATTAACTGTTAACTATTTACAGCTAATATTTTTACTTCTTCATTTTTCTGTTAACATTTATCCTTTCTCCAGATACATTCTAGTTTGTTATTTTCATCTACAGTTCCTTTGAGGTATTGAATATTGTGTTTGATACTAGGTTTCACCTGTTGTCCGGAAGGTTAGAAGAAGAGTCGGGGCTGGCTCTGTTAGCAAACGTGGCTCACCTTCTACAAAACGAGTCTCTGAAAAGAAAAAGGCATGTGTCTCCATTATATGTATACTTTAAATTGATTGTCAAATTCTTTTTAACATGCAAAATATGTTTTATGGTGGTGGGTAGAGAGTTTTTTCATGCTTTTAGTTGCAGTAGAGCATGTTCATAATCACCTGTAAAGAGGGGTTTTGAGGGCATCTTTTGTCAACGAACCTTTCCTTTCAGTTATGATTTCTCCTTGTAGAGGCAAAATATACCCTTGACCCTTTGTTGTTTTTTATTTATGTTTACCAATTCTTCTATTTTACCCTGTGACCACATGTGTCTGTATGTATATAGAAGTTAACAGAATTGTAAATGACCTTTTGTTGACACAGTACATAATGAAGGACGGTACTAAACAGACAAGTCGAAAGGAGAAGTCCACTTTCAATGTGGTGCCCAGGCGAGAGGATCAGTTGGCTCGTTCTAGTGGAAAAGAAACATTAGAAAATGAAATTGGTACTTAGTATTCTTTTTCTGTTGATCTTTGTTGTTTCTTTTCCTAGGAGATGTTTTCAATTTAAAACAACTGGTGAATTTCTGTTGTTATGTGCATGAAGGAATTTGTGCCTCTAATTTTAGTTCCGAGTTGGTCACTCTTTGCAGTATCGTTGGTTGCAAATGATAATATCTTATAGTATGCGATTAGTGTGTGAAGTAATACCTAATCCCAAATTTCCTGAGTGGTTAGTCATGTAGATAGGGCTTTCAATGGCCAGATCAAAGATTGGTTGAATACAATTAGGTTCAAATATATTACAGAAAAAGTCTGACGGTTCAAACTCAAATTTGTTTCTGAATACTATTATAGTTTGGTCAAAATGAGGATTATGTAAACGTGATTAGAATCATTAGATGTAGATCTGAACTTGATTTTAAATTTTAAATGATGAAGTTTATATTAAATGAAATATTATATGAGCAATCATTTATTTTAGATGAAAACATTGTTTCAAAACATTGGAAGTTGATCTCTTTCTTGGACTTTACTTTAATTCGAATGCGGTTGTCAGTTATTCAAAACTGTTGTGTGGACCCAAATTTGGATATTACTCTAGTGATCTGGCTGAAATATAGACCTCGCTTTATGCTTTATCCATGCTGAATTGAAGCCACTTACAGCCCTAGTTTGAGATGATGGCAAACATGTATTCCCCTTGAATCCCCACTTGCGTCCTCTCCAACAAGTCCCAAATCTCTAATATTAGTTTTCCATGTATTTTTCTTGATGATACTTTACCATTTACCTCTGAGTATTGTTGTGTTTATTGCTGATTGTAAGTTTGAACAGTCCTAAACTAAAGAATAGTTTGATAGCTCTGCAAATTTAACTTAGTGCAGAATGATAAGTAATGTATCATGTAATTGAAGTTTCCAATATGAAAAGTACTATATGAAATGTTTTTTTTTATAAAGAACCGAAATAAGGTACAAAACATATGCGTCATTTTTATGTTTGCTACCAGAAAGAGAAAATATATGCGTCATTTTTCATATTGTTCTGCTGCGTTTTTATGTTTGCTAACTTAAAATTTCTGTCAATGAAGGTTCTGTTTCAGGAATCCCTGTGATTTCCGACTCTGGAAAGAAGAAAATCCTACTTCTTAAAGGAAAAGAACGTGAAATACCTCCTGTAAGTTCTATTGACTCTGTTGATTTGGATAATTATACTGTTTTTCAATTTATCACATGGACATGATCTATTATTATATCAGCCTTTTTATCATTTTGACTAGGTTGTGATTTTTTTTTTTCCCAGGCTGAGGGTATGTCACAACTTAGAAGTTCTCCTGTTTCACATGCTCTGAAGCAGAACCAAAGGC